TTTATAAATTGATGTGATCTATATTTTTATACATGGATATTGGTTGACTTAACAGTAGTCTTTTTTATAATTTATAACACAATAGACCCACACTTGCCCTAGGAATACTCTTTGTCTTGCCTGAAATATGCCTGTTTGCCAATGTTTGACCCATGCCTGTTATGACCACGTCTCTGTTTAATATAAGCCAGCAAATGGATCCGCACGTCTCTCGTCTCGTCGCCTCCATTACAACTGTAGACTGTAATACTGTTTTATATAATTAATGAATATGTTCGTAATTCAGACACTAAGAAAGATAAGAATCTCTGTAATTTTAACTCTTTTTTTTGTGCTAAATAAATTGTGTATAATTATTCCTGTGTATTGTCATTTACTTTAACATGTTTGACCGTATAAACCTGCTATCTTTTATCATGTGCTAATCATGATACAGCAGTGAAGGGCCTGGACAGGGCCGCTGCTGGCCAAATGGGTGCCCTAAGCAGAATAGTATTGTTGTGCCCCCTCCCTCAAAAAAAAACAAAGAGCGATAGTAACAAACAAATGATAAGGAAAATAAAAACTAGTCTACCGGCTCTGTGGTGGGTACAGGCTGGTCTGCATGCAGTGAAACACTATGTAAATGGTTGTTGAGCACTGCACTGGCATTCAACAGATTTTTGGTGAACATTTTTATGATGATGAATTTTAGGGAAAAGACTAACAATATGTTAGAATAAACCGTTTGCAAAAGAAGTATTTTTTCTTCATGTTTTGGAATGAAAACTTATTGGTCTGATTCTTTACAAGGAGGGAAAAAGGTGAGAAATTGATACATTTAACTAAATATACATTTATGCATTTGATATGTTTTATGTGTTTGTATGCGATTAACACATCTATCCATAACACTTTAATTTTGAGGTAATTTTGATGGCGATTAAAGGGATCGTTCCCCCCAAAATTCTGTCTTTATTTACTCACCCTCATGTCTTTCCAAACCTGTATTTTGAAGAATGTTGCTAATCAGTTTTGGTTACCATTGAAAGTAAACATCCGTCAAAATATCTGTTTTTATATTCCACAAAAGAATGGAAGTCATACAGGTTTGGAACAACATGAGGATGTGTAAATGAAGACAGAACTTTCATTTTTTAGATGAACTATCCCATATTAATGACCATAAAATATTTAAACTATTCAAGATACTGATAGATAATATAATTTTTGACAATTAACAACATAAAACATGATCAACAACATGATCATCAGTTTTATTGTTACAATGAGAATTAAAAAAATGTATATTCATTTATTTATAAATTGATGTGATCTATATTTTTATACATGGATATTGGTTGACTTAACAGTAGTCTTTTTTATAATTTATAACACAATAGACCCACACTTGCCCTAGGAATACTCTTTGTCTTGCCTGAAATATGCCTGTTTGCCAATGTTTGACCCATGCCTGTTATGACCACGTCTCTGTTTAATATAAGCCAGCAAATGGATCCGCACGTCTCTCGTCTCGTCGCCTCCATTACAACTGTAGACTGTAATACTGTTTTATATAATTAATGAATATGTTCGTAATTCAGACACTAAGAAAGATAAGAATCTCTGTAATTTTAACTCTTTTTTTTGTGCTAAATAAATTGTGTATAATTATTCCTGTGTATTGTCATTTACTTTAACATGTTTGACCGTATAAACCTGCTATCTTTTATCATGTGCTAATCATGATACAGCAGTGAAGGGCCTGGACAGGGCCGCTGCTGGCCAAATGGGTGCCCTAAGCAGAATAGTATTGTTGTGCCCCCTCCCTCAAAAAAAAAAAAAAATCTACTATAAGGGGCCAAAATAGAACATTAATCAAATATAAAAGTAAATAAACAAATTGTAATTCAATTGTATCATTTATAAATTACAACTGAAGCTCTAGACAGTTACCTATGGCTATGATTTTAGTTGTCTGATTGATTTTATGGGCTCAAGAATTCAGAAATCAAACAAAATAAAATAAAGCAGTTTTACTACGATAAAACCATGGTCAATTTTGGTAAGGGTTGTGATGTCCACGTTTTTGTTGAAGAAATTAAAGAGGCTGTAGCATTTCTATCGCAAAAAGTTCAAATTTATTTAAATCGCCAAAATTAAAAATTAAGTGGATATTTGAATTAAATGTCTGGTCAATATTAAACAAGGATTTGATCGTCCTGAAAGTGTAACAACAGCAATTATCAGGCATTTGTATTAATGTAAATTGTTTATTTTGTATTACTTTATGTATTTTAACAGTGTTATAATGAAACCATATTTAAACCATATAGCATATTGCCTCGTAGTTTTTATATAATACATTTTAAGTCATGGAAATTAGAATATTAAGTCAGATGAGTTGTTGGTGGTGGTGAAATTATTACCGACATTAAAACACGTCAACAGACAAAAAAGTTTGACAGGGTGTCGCGTTTGAATCGTCAGTGGCAAGGCCCGTATTTTACCATTCTATCCCGCTATCATCCCGTTTAAATATTTTCCCGTATTTCTCCCGTATTTTTAATCTTTCTATAAAAAAAATCCCACTGTGCGTATTTTATGTTTCCTACATTCGCCTCCGGTAAAACCTCCGTAATTTGTATGGCCCAAACCTCATTATATGAATAATCACCTCAACAAATTCCAAGGTTGCCCAGTTGCCAGATCTTGTATGAAACGCATCCTTCTCACACAATCGAAACATACAAATTTCAACCCATTTGTCCCCTCAACTTGGCAACCTACAACAGTAATGACTACCGCGGGAAGGAAAGGATCACTCACTGCTAGAAATGGGACGGGAGGAGAACACAGGTGGTGCTCCAGTGAAAAAACAAAACAAATATACATGCAAATTGAGATATAGCTTACACTTCAAAAGGCTATATGGTTTAATTTATGAAATATGAGTGCTGCAAGCTGCAAAATCAGGTGCTGCGCTGTTTTGTTTACTGCGGTTACCGGGGAAATGGCTATATTCCTGGCGAAAAGCGAAAGAATGAAGAGAGAATGAATTTGCATTTTTCAATAAGCCCTTTTGCTTTTTCTTTTAGTCCAAAGCCAAAAACGACCCTTATTTTTACGCTGAAAACACGCAGTTTGATATACACGCAGTTTAAATAATTGCTTGATAATAATTGTTTAAATTAATATAATATAAACTATAATATAATTTAATAATTTATACTTTTGACCCGCCCTATATGGGATCATGATTCATGTAAATCATAAATGAAGGTGACAACAGACGTTTGCGTTTTCGACTATTAGACATACGAATAAGAGTGAATGTGCACATTTTAAAATAAAATATTATTTTCAAATAGTGTAAATTGATTACTACTTCATATATAACTACAAACTTAGAACTTATTTTAGCATTCTTATTTACTTATTCCCTTAAATCACTTTGAATCCTTTAATTATTTAATTGCTTTATGATTATTATCAATTCTTATGAGCATGTGTGTGACCGTGATTTATGCGCAAGCATGTCAGTGAGCACGGCATCACAATCGATCAGATGTGTGTTAAAGTTGCGTTCATTACTATAGCGACCCCCCCCATCCCACACACACACACACACACACACACACACACACACACACAATTGCTGAGGGCCTCGCACGTCAACTTCGCACAGGGCCTTGCGACAACCATGTTTGGAATGACATGAGGTTGAGTAAACAATGACAATTTTCATTTTCATTTTTGAGTGAACTAAACCCTTCTATAGGTTTGCACAAGAACAAAAATGTGATTTCTTCAGTAAGATTATCAAAAGGGCTACTATGTTTTCTGTAGGAGCTGTAAGGGAATAATCTTACATTATCAAAAGTGGAGATAAAGTGGTGAAATGATCAGACTGATGGTCTGACGGCAGTAGAGGACAGGCGTGCACACACACACACACACACACACAGAGACGTGCAGGTTGGCTGGCCACTGTTATTCTGCCGTGATTAGAGGACTTTGGGTCTCAGAACCACCATCTACAGCTGTGCTGTTTCTACCAATTACATGGCCCATATGCCAGCAGCCCACTCTACCCAGGTGGAGGTAAAGGTGTGAGTCGAACTCAACGATGGTCACACACAAACAAACACACACATACGCGGAGGTGTCTTATTTCCTGAAAGACATGCACGAACGCTTAGGGTGTTAAGTATAGAACGGTTGATCGTTTATGTGTGTCTTTCACTTAAGCAGAAGTTTCTCCTAGCGAGAAGTTTGTCGCTACATTCTGTTTTAAACAAGCGTTGCTATGAGAAGTGAAATATTTAAAATATTCAGTGGGGCCTAAAACATGAAAACACAGATGGAGAAAACCAATACTAATTAACATGAAATCATGAATAATTTATTTGTTTTTAAAATGTAGAATGTAAATATATTGGAGAGGTGAAAGGGATTCATATGTTCTGCTGCAGGGCAAATATCACATGTTAACAAGAACTAAAGAATCAGAATAACAGGAGAAATGGCCAATCACAATGCACTGGGTCAGCTGGCCAATCAGAGCAGACTGCGCTTGTCGGAAGGAGGGACTTTGTAGAAAACGAAGCGTTTCAGAGAGGCGGGGCATAGAGGACCTACAATAATGTACAGTATTTGAAAAATGTTTTTTTTTTTGAACATTACAGCATGTCAACATATTCTGTTACACCAAATACACAAAATAATGATCTTTAAAAAAACATCATATGACCCCTTTAAAGTTGTGTTCGTTACTATAGCGACCCATCCCCCATCCGCAACGCTGACCTCATACATCATCCTCCCAGAGCTGCTTCCTTGTACAACTGTTGGCGCAAGTTACATTAAAGTGATTATAACGTTTTGAATATGGATATTTTTCTTACAAAAACGCATCGATTCGCTACAGGAGGCCTTTGTTCACCCCCT